GCGTCGACTATTAAATCAGTCGTTGACGATTTTGATAGTCGACGTAATCGTGACTAGTCGACTAATCGTGGCAGCCCTACTATGAAGTCATTTGAACCAGAAGATCAGTACTGATTCACTGAAACACACAAACACAGAGATACACACACCTGCAGCTATATATTTTGGCTCAATTCAGACAAACCCTCTTAATGACCTCATCAGTATCAATGACCTGCAGTGTAGCAGACCATGCTTTATTTGGCCCTTAGCACACACAGCTGTACCCAGCCAACTTTCTTTTACATAATGCTTCATTTACTTTTCATAGCTGGGGTTTTTTTTAGTTTAATGAAAGCTGAAGTCAATGTTCTTTTTAAAAAACAAAAACAAAAAAATCTTCAATTTAACAGACTTGTGCAAAAGAACACAAGGTCAGTTTGCTCTTAAATACGTTAGTCTTTGCCCAACTTATTTTACAACTAACAAACTAACAAATTTTACAACTAAAGTGGTTCAACAAACTAATTAAACTTCACTTCAGGTTGTCTTACCTGCAAAAGGAACATATGTACAACCATCAGGGTCTGTGTGAAGACTTGGTAAGGTCTGACATTTTGGCAGCAGTGAAACGGGAGCCTGGGACCCGGTGAGAGAGCTGAAGAGTCCAGACTGGACTGAACTGCTGCCTTCTATTATCAGCCACTCCTTATGGCAGTACAGCTCCTTCACTGCCAGGCAGTGTTCTCTGTATATGAAGAAAAAGTGTATCAGATTCAGTGATTCTTTCTTTTGTTTAATAAATCTGAATGGGTCCAAATCTGTGGAGGGCCAAAAGTGCCAAACTGAAATAAATAAATACTTACTTAAATAAGTAATTAATTATGCATCATTAAATAATGAGAATTTGAAATAAGTAAACAAGCTATTAAATCCATAAATAATTATTTAGATGTGATTAAATGGTTTGTGTTCTGCAACCCATCATTAATTTATTTTCTCATTATTATTTTGAAAGGTCACAGACCAGACTGATTTTGAAAAAAGTGATTGAGAACTGTAGAGCAGTATATTAAATTTAATTAAATATTACTGTTAAGCAGCTCTTTCTTAAAAACATCATGTATGTATAACTCTTACTGAAAAAAAGATGCATATCACTTGTTAATGTTAGTTTATTAATTAATTTATTTTTACTCTAGCAGGCTTTTTCAGAACTTTCAAAACAGACAGCTCATGTTCGGAATTTAGTTGATTAAATATAAAAATATAGAAAAATTAATCATTTCTGGACTTCGCTTGAGATCAGTCACCAGTCACCATTATGCTAGTCCAGGTGTTTCTGATCCTGGTGAAAATGCTTGCGTCCTCATATTAAATTTTTTATTTTAAATTAAAAATAAGTTGTTCCAACTCATCTGAACATCTTGAAATAAAGATGAGATAATGAATCAGTTCAAAATATACTGAAAATGAGACATTAAAGTTCACTAAAACTATAAAGTTATGAAGCTTAATTTTAATGTTAGCCTAACCAGTTTGCTTTAAAATAATTAAAACACCAATTTAAACCAAAAACAAGACAAGCATTGTTAGACTTTAGAAGTGAATTATACTACCCTTCACTCAGAGGGTCAGTGGAGGTTGAAAACAGCCATAACCAGGCTGTTCTTATCAGGTATCATGAGCTCTGACCGCCCAGTAAGCTCATAGCTAAGGAGGTGAGCTGACTGTCAGGTTAGGGGGACCTGACATCTCTGAAAACATTGGAGCATTTTCAGAGATAGTCTCTATTTTTTCCAAAAACAAATCAAGCTAACTACTTCCTACCTAATATTATCACCATTATCTGGGATCAGTCTGTCATTTTCTATGGTAACCCACCAAATATTAGGGCCTATGGTTGAGCTTCAGTGACAGTTACAGATAAGATACACTGCAACACAGGAACCATAAAATAATTAAATATGTTGTCAATAAAATGAGTTGATATTTTAATCAATTGATGACATATTCACATAACTAAATTTGATTTTTTATGTATACACGTATTTCCAATTTTAATTAATTAATGAGACATTTAATCAAATATTTATTTATGTTTTTCTTTCAGCACTCCTCGCCTTCTATACAACCATATGTTGTGCACAACTTATATCAACCCATTAAGTTTTATTTCTACACTGTACAAAGACAAAGAGAAAGGGAGACCACGGAGAACAATACTACCTGCAGACAGGTTTTGGTGCAGGTCCTAGCCCTGATGGGTTGCAGTCAGGAAAGGAAGCGTGGCAGAGCAATGAGCGTAATGCAGGACCGCACACCCCACTGAGCCCTTCTACCTCTGCCCACCAGCTCTGAAGAAAGTACTCCTGCGTGTCCTCAGGGTTTGAGAAGGACGAGTTAAAGAAAACCAGCAAATCGTCGTGCAATATTGTGCGGCAAACATCTCCACGATATGCACTGCAGTAGCCTGCGATCCCCTTATAAAGTCTGTTTAAAGGAGACACACATACAAATATTTGGCAAATTAAAGGCAAAATCAAAACAAAATAGTTCTAATGCTTTTTTAAAAAAAATTCTATACAGCTCCACTGTAGGCGTGTTATCTAACACATCTCTACCATACTAATTCCTGGGGAGTAAATTATCCTGGGTTTTTTTTTTCTTTTCTTTTTTTCTTTTTTCAAATTTCCTACATATCTAAGATACCCCTTCTCTCTTAGCAGAATGTGATGAAAAGGTTTATAACACAGGAGATCACTCCCAAATCACCATTTTTCAACATCTACCGTTATGGGGAGTGACGATAACCATGATCCTTTACTAATCATCGAATACCACATCATCAAACAGATTTAAGAGCCTAAACCTAACTAAGAACAGGGACTTGCGAAAGTAACTTTAGTGCCTAATTCATTAATATGTATTTGGGATGGCATGTTATTTCTAATAGAAAAAAATGCCTTGTGTAATTCAGTCATGCAGCATAAACTGGAGTTTGACCATATTCCATACCTTTCTAGTAATATTTCCTTGTGTAATTTGGGTATTTGTTATTTGCATATTTTAATTTAACAAAATGATTGAAAAGAAAACCAGTAAGAGTTGCATACTAAAAGTACAGAGAGTGGTCTGTTTTTACTGTCTTGGCTTATAGCAAGTGTCCACTAAAAAGTAAAAAGAAATCATCTTTCACTTGAAATATCTTCTTTAACATCATCCAGATGTTGATCATGAAACAGGTTGGAGAAAGTTTAAGTGAGATTGCATCCTGTCTGTTCAACTTCCTTGCTGGAGCTCAGTCATACCTACTTTGCATAAACCTGTCTGTGGGACAAAGTCCCTGTATTCCTCTTTCACCCTGTTTGCCTCCTTTTCTTAATGCTTTCTCATCTGTTAGTCCTCGAGCATTGCTATGATCCACATTTATCTCTGTCTGCTCCACACTGCTGTCTTTCTGACAGCATGTATTCTGATAACCTTCACTCCAGCATCACTGCTGCCTGTCTGCATTCTCTTACAGACTCCAGATGTTCCCTCTTGGGGAGGTTGGTGCTTCAGCAGAGTTCAAGCCAAACTATCAAACTCAAAGGTGCCCTGTAAATCTATCAATTCACTCTTTTCTTTCTTTCTTTTTTCTCTTTCTTCCTCACCAGATCTCTGTGCATCTAGTCCAGATGTGGTCAAAAGTGGGCAGATCAAGATAAATGCAGCCATTAAACCTGCCTTTCTGTGACCTACAGCCCTCTATCCTCAATGTACTTCATTTTTCATCAAGGACCCTGGGGCCAACATTTTATTTTCCTTATTTTATTTCTATTTTAGTCTCTTTCTTTCTGCTTCCTTCTATGTGCATCTTGTCTCCCTCTTTCTCTCCATCTTCACAGTTACATAGTCCAGATGTGGCAACAGCAGCTGTGTTAAGGTTCAGAACAGTTCAAATTCAACTCACACCATATGGGTGATTGAGAGACCCACTCTCTTCTTGGCATACGGGAATGTTCAGGAAAATGAATAGAAGCAGCAACACAGAGACCTTTATGGTGCTTACTTTAAAAAAATAGTGGCAGGCAATGTACTGTGAAATTATTCTGATTCAACATGGGTCAAATGAGCTGAAACATTTTCTATAATCAATTCAAATGTAATATATACAAAAAGAAGTAACAGAAGAAACAAAGCTTAGGCAACTTCACACAAATCTGGCACAAATCTTTTCTCTTACCTCCACTCTACTGGGAAGTGGCAGTATCCAGAGTACACGGGATGAATAGGAGCAAGTAGAAGAAGAGGGAAAAAAATGAGAGACAGAGTGATGAGAAATGGTTGATAGATGAAAAATAGCAGGATGAGAAAATCAACCATGATGTTACTCTCTGCAAGTCATCACTAACTGTGGAGAGACTGAGAGGCAACCAGGTGGAAGGACAGTGTGTTTTGTTGGGGAACAGGTGTGTGTGTGTGTGTGTGTGCGTGTGCATGTGCGTGCATGCGTGTGTGTGTGTGTGTGTGTGTGTGTGAAGGAGTGGCTTTGTTTGAGGAGTAGTAACCAAATGGGGTAGGCAACAAACAGCTGAAAACA